TATATATATATTTAGAGCTACCACTAAGTTGACCAGTCCCTGCGCTTATAATAGCCCTTAGCTGAGTTACACGAGGCGAAAGATTTCGCGCGGCCGCCGCACGGCAACCGCCTAGTTACCACGCCTTCATGTACATAAATGGTGAATCTCAATTCTATTTACAAGGCAACAACATTTAAATTCCTCTGAATAATACAAGCGCGCGATCGCCGCCTAAAATCGTAAAGCGCGATGAAATTCGTGTCGAATAAATGCGCCCTTACCCTCCAAAACCGGAATGCAATAACATGTTTTTTTAGTTTTTTTACATATAAGTACTGCTTGGCGGTAGAAGTAGGTAACGTACACTTCCCTGGACGAATTCTTTCACAAGGAGCTCTACTGCTACTAAAACTGTTCTCTGTGGAATTCATGTTATGAATTTGTTTTCTACTTACCGACATTATATGTATATAATTTGAAATAAATACATTAAAATGTGCACGAGATATAATCGCTTTTATAAAGAAAACCGCCTATGAAACAGCGATTATAAATAGGCATAATTAAATGCTTGGATAACAAAATAGTTTATCTAATTTAATGCAGGCGTATGCCCTCGTAATTGCCGCTGACCAAGCGAGATGACCAAGACATGTGTAAATAATGGGTTGATATATTTCAATGCCTTTATATACCGTGTTCCTAATTTAATAAGTTAATCTTTGACACGACACCATTGACTTACAATTATATGGATGTCGGGTCCACACTAAAAAGTGTCCGAACTTATAGGGCGTTAAAATCGTATACAGAGCGTCATTCGCGCTTTAGTCTTCGTTTGTTCGACTGACAGCGAAGCAACCAAATTAGACAGTACTGCCATGACATTACAATTTAAATTCAACGTTTTAGCTTTTTCATATTCCTTCACATGTCACTACGTTTAAATAGGTTGACTTGGGACATTTTTTTCGTGGTTTTTGTATTAGACCCGTCGTCCATTTATTTGTAAGTCAATGCACGACACACAAAACTTTACTGCGAACATAAGTTCGCATATGTGGTATAAACCACAAGACGATAAATAATGAGAAAAAATACTCAAAATTGGCCCTGCTGCATCGAATTGAGGAAACCAGTTACACCAAACCGTGGTACAACCCGTTGTAGATACTGTGAGAAAAAACAAATAAGTATTTTACCTTAAAGTTTGCTGTTGCAGTTTGAGTGCTGTAATGATCTACAAAATATAGAGTTTATTTTATGATATCAAGTGAAGGGACGAACAACTGGTGGTAAGCGACTCAGCCATCGATGGCAGTTACAGTGTGGCCGCTCAGAACTTTAATAAATCGCAAATACACTCGTAAAAGTGTCTATATGCCAATTACTGAAAGTTAGGTATTTAACAAAAATTTTTTAACACATAATTTAAAAAAAATGCTTGTTAAATGTATATCTACATATATTTTTTAATTAATTTAATAGGGTAATCAAAATAAATAATATTGATCCCTAGTTACTTTTAATGTATGTATTGAGTGGCCTTACAGGATAGAAAAATAATCTAAGTGAGTGGCACTGCGCCGACATAAGGCTGCTAACAGATTGACTGCTTGTTTTACAGTTAATGTGTGATGACGTTATCAACTTCATGCAGTCGAGGACTCGGATAACGACTTCACGCATTAACTGCATGCTGCCGAAACCGATTTCATGCAACCGAGATCGACTGCAAACATGCAGTCAATCTGGTAGAAGCCTAACTTGACAAGGCCTATGTGCCTATAATTTCACCAGCACCCTTACCCTGGAAAACCGAAACGCAGTAATGCTCACATTACTGTTTAAAGGCAGAAATAAGCAAGTTCTTCCCTGGGCGAACTCTTTCTCAAGGAGCTCTTCTGCTACAAAACACAAAATTAGATTACGAAATCAGACATAGTTAGAGATTGTTTTCTATTTTTATTGTATTTGTTTCTATGCGTAGGCGTCATCCTGAAGCTTAGTACTTACTACAAACGATATGGCCTCGTACACGGGTTGGAGCTCGTGTAAAATCTGACTATCAACGGAAACTTTTATTCATGCCAAACACAATAATACATTATGCAGACATCCGGTATAGTTAGCAACATTGTAGCAAAGTTATTTTAATCAAAAGATATAACTAGACTCTATTCCACGTTCATATTCTGCACTGCACTCTGTGACCTAGTGTTATGTTAAAAGTTGCAAATAATCATAAATTTAATTAAATCATTTAAAAATGTTTTTTAATTCAAAATTGTTTACGATATTATTACTTTTTTTATACTTTTCAATAGTTGAGTGTAGGAAATCATTCACGATATTATTAGATTCAACGGAGTCCATGCGGAATGAAATTTCTATAATTAAAAGAAGTATGACCTCAATTGCGAAGGAAATAGGTTCATGGAATGAAATTGAAAATTACATACTGCTGAGTTTTAGTGATCCTGGTAAGTACCTTTAATTTTGTTAAATATGAAAATTGACACGAAAAAATTCGTACCTATCACAGACCATATAAATATTAGTGTACCTACCATTGCAGAAGTAGAGACCTTTAATATTAAGGACCTTGTAACTTTTTGAACCTTGATATGGAGTCCAGTCTTATATCTACTAGCTTTTGACACCAGTTATCGTGTTCACAAACTTTTTAAAAATTGTTTCTCCAAGAACAAAAACGTGTTTTTGAATTTGCCATTACTTATCGAGTTCTTAGGTTTTCGTGATTGTTACTAATGATAATAGGGTGGTTTGCATCAATATTATACATAACTGGTTGAAGACTGTACCACCTCAGTCAACCGTGACCATGGGACCTGTAAAGGGCCCGAAACGTCGGTTTGTTTAAAAAAACAAATATACGCGATTTAATCTGGAAAAATTGTTTCAATTCCTATTTGCCATTACTTCCCTACAAAATGATATGCTTATTCAAGAAAAACATAGTGAACAAACCTTTGTCGCTGCCTTTATACAAGGACGCAGTATTGCAGAGTAGATTTTGAAGTAAGCATACAGCGACGAGTACCTTCCAAAGTCCCTTGAAAAACAGCGTCATAGCCCCTTCAGTGAGACGACAATAGCTTGAGTGGATGACGGATTCTGTAACTGCATACACTGTCAGTTTTGTTAACTATTGTGCCACTCAGAGCTGTTAATCGCAAAGATCTTAGGGGCACTGCCACTGTGCCCGTCACCCTGATACACTAACAGCAGTAGAGCTCCTTGTGAAAGAGTTCGTCCAGGGAAGTACCTACTGCCACCTTACCTATTTCTGCCGCCAAGCAGTAATGTTAGCATTACTGCGTTCCGGTTTTGAAGGGTAAGGGTGCTGGTGAAATTACAGGCAAATGGGACTTGTCAACTTATGCCTCTCCGATCTTAGCGATTTAAAGCTCTGCGTGGCACTGCAACTCACATTACTGCTTGGTGGCTGAAATAGGTAGGGTCCTTCGCCTGGACGAACTCTTTCACAAGGAGCTTTACTGCTACTAAGCTCTTTGCAGGCGTTATCGCGAGCGCCACTCGGCGCCCCCCTAAGTCCCTGCATCACAAATTTTCATGCCCTATTTCACCTCCTTTAAGATTTATTTTTGTAACAAAAAGTAGCCCATATCCTTCTCCTAGGTCCCATCTATCTCTATACCAAAATCCATAAAAACTGGTTTAGCGGTTTAAGCGTGAAAGCGTAACAGACAGAGTTAATTTCGCATTTATAATATTAGTTTAGACGACACTACCTCTTTCGTCGTATTGTATCCTACTTTTATATCACCCTTTTCTCTGGTTCCTGGTTTGAATTTTGAATCGTTCTTAAATTCCTTTTTTTCTTCGTCACTTACTCTTCTTCTTTCCATCGTGATCTACTAAATTTCCGAACCAGGCTCGCGTGCTCGACTTCACATAAAATTCTGACCATTTAAATCATGTAACCTAGCTGCTTATAAAGCATAGTATTTCTAGAAATTACAGGCCCATTTAGGGTGCATTACTTTGTTAGTATAACCTGTATTTAATTTAAGTAGGGAGTGTTTTTATAGCATTGTACCTATTTTTATATCATTGTGTTTTGTTACAGTCTTGACGCCTTTATATTTACCAGTTCTTTTGTGTACTCTTTCTTTATTTCTACAATAAAATTAGTGTCACCGAACCTTGTATTTAATTATGCAAGGTTCGCGTGACAGTTTGTTTTAGTTTAGCTTGCTCTGAACGTCGCTGTAAGGCTTAGTTCAAAACCGTGCTATTCTATCTTCGCCCTTTCTACAGTGGAGACCGTTGTGCTCAGCAATAGGACATTTTTTATGTCATTCCAATCGGCAAATAAATGGAAATCACAAGCAGGCAGCGTTAACAGCCTTTGTAAGGAAGTAAAATCGTTAATCCAGAGTCAGTTGTGGGACATAAGATCTTAAACTTTTTGTGCTGCGACCTAGCTCTTTCTACCTTTCAATACTGAGTAGAATTAGGTAGGTCGGTGGTGTACAGATCAGTGCGGCGTCGACCAAGAACGCATTACATCACCGTTAAAAATATGGATTTGTACTGTACAATTTAAAAATGCTTTTAACTGTTAATTAAATTGTAATTCAAAATGTAGATTTGGGGCCTCCAGTTTTTTCGTTGACTCCGGAAGAATTCACGTCATCATTAAACAGAGTTACCGTCAACGGTGGTGATGAATGTCCCGAGAATGCATTGACTGCAATTCAGAAGGGATTGGAAATAAGCAACCCTGATTCATTTATATTTGTTTTCACTGACGCCTACGCAAAAGACTATGGCAAAATTACATCTGTGCAAAATTTGTGTGAAACTACACACAGTAAGGTAACCAAATCTTTTTATTATACTTCTGTTATTACGAATAGTTTGTCATGTAGTGTAATTGTTCAACAAATAGGTTAAATTTAATTGGAAAGGATGGGCAACGTTTTGAGAAATGATGCGTTTTAATTTTTTCATCCACAAGAAACTGTTTTTTGGCTATAGTTGTTTGCTATTGAAGGTAGGTAGGTGCGATTACCAGCTGAAAATGGTCTCGCATTTGGTTAATAACAGTTATACTGTATTCATCATGTATTCATAGTGTAAAAGCTTGTATTAAATTATATAAGTGAATATACCTATAGTTACCAGCACGCTGAGTTTTGTAGCCTTTAAACTTTGGACAGTTTGCCTAGCAACTGGAATTTTATTGTGAGAATGTTAAGAAACAATACCTTTTCAGATAGTGATATTTTTGAATGGATATTGCGATACCACGAATTCTTCACAAGTCGGCAGCATTGATGCCTACTATAAGGTTGCTGAATCTTGCAACGGTGCATTTTTCCGAATGGATATGTCCAATTTTAGAAAGGTTCGTTTTATATGTTTTAATATTTATAATAAAAAACGTCATAAGGTGCTAAACAATCACACCAATCACCTTTTTTTAATGTAGGTGAAATAGTACTTACCGCACACTAAAATATAAATACTTTTCTTTGTGCCGTAGTAAGCCACTAAAATAAAAAAATAATAATAAAAACAAAATATAAAAATATTTAAAAATAGAGACAAGAATTAGAGAATGCTTTTCTCTACTTTTAAATATTTTTATAGTCTCTGTTGGGATTAATTTACGTTCCAGGCATTCACCATTATAAAAGAATTAACACAAGATTGGACAGAAATTAATAACTACAATCCATTTGTCGATTACAAGCAGTTGGAGGTAAGTTCTATTATAATTTTCGTAATACATAATTATCAATGTTTTTAGTTTTAGTACTTTAATAATTTTTGTGTTAAAATAGCTCATGTACAAAGTATTACACTAGATACACTATAAGATTGAATTATTGCAGATTTTAAAATAAAATAAAATAATATTCCAACAGGAATGGAACATAATTTATGTATCGATATATTCGATCGATATATCGACTCATCCGAAGAACAGAGTCTGATGTGATTATATAGTGAAAAGAGAATAAGTAGGTTACGAGAACAATTTCGTTATTCAAACTAAGGCCTGTGTAAATGTGTTTTAATTATTTATATATCTTATTTCGTTTCGGAAATATAAAATCGAACAACGGTCAATCTGACATCCACAGCGAAGAAGAACGAACGAAATGTACTATGTCCTGAAAACAAGTAGTCTTGCACATAGACCTTTGTTCTACGGATGAGTCGATATGATTATACTATATGTATGTACATAGCATAATGAACTTTATCACAATTGTGTAACATACAAACTAGATTGTGACTACTATTTGAATAAATAAGAGTTGCGCGGGGCCATTCGCTCGCGACTAACCGCTTAGTGGAAACTGCGTGTCGACAAAAGGCGTGTTAGAGAACTAAAAATGATTGACGCTCTATATAGACTGACTGCAGCGCTCCTACAAGCAATTAATTTGAAGGCGTTCTAAAGAGATGATTTCTTTCGTTATTGTACTGATAATAGACACATGAATATCAAATAACATATAAAGAGTTAAAATTAATAATAAAGCTTTATTTCAAACCTTACAGGACAGTAAAAACACTTAAATGTTAGGTTTGTTGGATTTATTCCACGATTTATTTTTTATTCATTTTATTTACACTATATGCAAGTATTTTTTTATTTTTGCATGTATGTAAATAAGTAGGTAGTTAGCTTATCTCCTGTTTATAAATATGCCTAATCTATGGCTTACCTGTTTCTGCCGCCAAGCAGTAATGTCAGCGTTACTGTGTTCCGGTTTTAAAGGGTAAGGTTGCTAGTGAAATTACAGGCACATGGGACCTATCAAGTTATGTCTCAGGGTGACGGGCGCAATGGCAGTGCCCCTTAGATCTTGCGATTTAATAGAAATAATAGTTAATTCCACACCTAACAAAATCCAATAGCCTAATTTCGGTACTACCCATTTCTTTCAATTACAGTTCTAATGATCTTTAAATGGAAGGAAATTCAATTACTAGACTGTATTTCGGTAGATGTAGAGTTAGGATAAATTGTACCTAAAAGTCTGATCTTAGTGCGCCTTCTCATTATTCTTAGTTAATTAATTAATTGTGACTGCAAACGTGATGCGAGTGTATGGAAATTAGTAGCACTAAGAGTGGTTACACAGTATTATACAGTTTGATTTTTAACAGCGATGCAAACATGCGTTCGCGAAACGCGCAATTGTATCGCTACACTTGCGATTTATAGGCGATCGACGCAAACGCGCGACTGCACGGATACAAACGATATATAATATAGAAGATATAAATCGATGCAAATCGCCTATAAATCTCAAGTGTAGCGATGTAATCGGGCGTTTGTATCGAAGCAGTTGCGCGCTTGCATCGCTGCTCTGCCGTCCACTAACTAAAACGCGGCTACGTGATAAATTGTCAAATATCCGTTTTAAATAGAAAAAAACAGAGCACTAAATTCTTTATTAAAAACAGTCAAAATTAGTTAACGTGTTTTTAGTTAGCGGACAATCGCGCGCGTGTGTAAAAATTGACGATTAGCCGCTACGTCCCTACTGCACCGCGTTTGCATCGTGTTTGCATCGGTGCTAAAAGTCGACGTGTGTAACCACTCTTAGTAGTGGCGCCACTGCAGCGTTAAATTGACGCGCCCTAATGCTTACACTTTTATGACAATTCACCAGATTGATACTGATTCCTTCACAACGCAAGCAGTCGTAGCAGTTTATGGAAATTATCCCGAAATAAGCGTGACAAATGATTACGATCAAAGCGTTCCTTATCGGAAAATTACACAACATGAACATTTTACTGTAAGTAATTGTTACCACCGACTTGCCGTTACACCGATTGCTATGAAAATAAAATCATTTATTTACTGTAAATTTTGACACCATGTTCAAACCAACAATTACTGTAATTAAGGAATTACACATGTATTATTTGTGAACGCTAAATAAGGTTGAATCGTGTAGTACTGCCACCTTACCTATTTCTGCCGCCAAGCAGTAATTTCAGCATTACTGTGTTCCGGTTTGAAGGATAAGGATGCTGGTGAAATAACAGGCACATGGGACTTGTTAACTTATATCTAAGGGTGACGGGCGCAGTGGTTGGGCACCTTAGATCTTTGCAATTTAAAGCTCTGAGTGGCATTGTAACTGTTATGGACAGACGTGTAGCTTGCCATCACGCGCACGACTTGTTCGTCCCGTCACTTGTTGTTATAACAAAAGACTTATGGAGGTTTAATATTTTGTTCAAATTTAAATGGGACCACTATTGAGGTACCCTCTTTCGAAGAATCATCGAAATCGGTCCACAAATGTTAAATTTACCGCGTAACATACACAAAAAAAATATAGTCGTAAATCATTATTCAACCTTATTTTTAGCGTGAATTGAGTAGGAAATAATCTTTATTGCCTCTTTACAATGGTCCTTTTAATAATGACTTACTATTAATATGACCATTTATGATTTTTTTAAATCTTTATTTATTTAGGACCTTTTATATAGGTAATGTAGGTATATGCCAGTTCCAACGTATCCTAAACTATAGCTAACATGTCTGGGCGGCGTTGCTGGAGAGCCGATTCAACAAATAGTAACAGTCTTTTTGCCTGTTTCGTGTGGGGATTGCTAAATATACAATTTATAGCACCTAAGGATGTTCGGTTGATCTGCAGGTCTCTCATCAACGCCGCCCTCTGTTGTTCGTACCGGACACATTCCAGTAACAAATGATAAGCATCATTCACTACTCTACATAACTCGCAATTAGGAGAAATTTTTTTTTCATTAAGAAAGCAAAACTGTTTAATGGAACGGGTCCGGTTCTCATCCTTAGTGCGATGGCAACTATTTTTCTACCTTGGTTTACATAGTGCGACGTATGTAAACCGAGGAGGCTACCTTTTTCCCTTGATCTGATATCAAAATATTCATTCCACATTTGACCGTTTATTATTCTTAAAAACTTTTAAACCTGACCATTTTTTACCGGGCAAAAAATATACTGACACTCTTTTCAGCGTGTACCAAATAGGACAATGAATGTAATAATTGAATTTAATCAATTATTAGGTCTGTTGCGAACGCAACATAATTTTTGTAATTTAATTTGAATTTTGAAGCAATAACGAAACGCTCGTCAAGGTTACATTACGTAAGCCGGGGGGTTCTATTTTGCACCAATCAACTAACATCACACAAATTTTATCCCTACCACATATTTACAGAATTTTTTGTACAAACCAACAAATGTCAAAAAACTGTTCACATTTAATTTGTTCTTCCAAAAGAAACTACCACTGCTTTATTACGACTAATATGTAGGTAATGCTTCTGTAAACTAGCTATCTCTATTGCCAATATTTTACAGTAAACAACAAATCCTCTTTTTTTTTGCTCGGGTCTGGCGGCTACAACATCATGAATTTTTATCAAGGTTATTAATACTAAAATCGTAAAAAAATTACAACAGGTTCTTCGTTTGAATTCGGGGGAATCTCATTATAAAGTGAATATCCGAAGTCAAGGAACTGCGTCTGCAACGCTTTATAAGAAAACAAATAATCCATTTCTCTTTGGGTTTTCTTCAGTACTTCCGAATAGTATAAAAGAAACTAGTACTTTACCGTTGCCAGGTAATGTTTTTGAATGTTACTTTCCTTTTACACGTTTCATTACTTACAAACATATATTTAAAGATGTATTATTAAGATTTTTTTGTGAAATAACTGCACTAGTTTTTATTATGAATACAAAGATCGAACACATAGAAAATCTTTTTCGACCCAATAGGAGTTGAACCCACGACCATGCTGCACGTAGTATTGCCCTTACCAAATGAGTTACGGGTCAAGTTTTGTTAAAGATCTTTGTACTGGATTTTTCGGCATTCTGAGCCGGTAGTGACATCTAGTGAGAGATTTTAGAACATTCTTCACCGCAGTATATTTAAATATATTAAGTAACAGTTACATACAAAGATTTGGTGACAATTGGCTGCGTAAAGATGTTTTCATCACACCTGCTTTTAAGTAGTAGTATAACATGCAGCAAAATTAGATCGTAATTTTCATCATACGGCCCTATGTTTTTTTGTTTTTATATACTTCTAACTCTTCGCTACTGGTACTAGTACCCCGCAGTGGAGATAAGTACAATTGTAAATTTTCTTCTAATTTAAAGTATCTTTTTTGTTTTTAGTCCGAACTACCAACTTAATTGTGCCAGCCACTCAAGACAATATAGAAATAAGATCTGCGGAGTTGTATACATTTCACAATAATGAAAAAAGGGTTTTGAATTTGGAAAAAAATGATGACACCGGATTTTTTACAGTCAGTACATCTTTTAGTACAAATGACGTATTTCAAATACATGTAAGTATTCCTGTATAGTTGCAATACCTACAAATAAGAAATAGTAGGGATGCCGGAATTGTCTAAATTTGTTGATATATACATAGGGCGCACTATAAGTTTCCGGAACTGGCCACTTACATAAACAATATTTAAAAAGTAATTAGAACATTTGAAAATTAAACTCTTTGGCTGTAGAATACACTTTGTTTCATCTGACTGTCACGTGTTTTTACATTGTGGCGTCATTTTAGAAATTGGTTGTCTACATCACCAGGGATTTAACTCGTGAAAATTTTCGTAGTATGGTTTTCTACGACTGTAAGTGTAATTTAACAGCTCAGCGGAGCTTCGCTCGGCTTGAAACCTCTTTTGGTGATGAAGCATCATGCAAGACGACTATTTATAGCTGGTTTGCGGAATTCAAACGTTGTCGTAAAATTTTGTAAAATTATTGTAGAATCAATACTACACTAACATTTGGGTGTGAAAAAGTGTGGATCCCACACAATTTGACTGAGGCTCAAAAAACGGATCGCGTCACTTGGTGCCATGCCACGCTTACCAGATTCAACGAAGGGGCGTCAAATTTGGTGTGGGATATAGTAACAGGTGACGAAACATGAATTTATAGTTACGATCCTAAAACAAAGCAGCAATCGAGCGTATGGGTTTTTCAAGATGAGCTGAAACCAACCTAAGTGGCGCACGTTCAAAATGCCTCTAAGCGGATGATTGCTTCTTTTTTAAATAAAACTGGACACGTAGCTACTGTTGCTTTGAAGAATAGTTGTACCGTGACTGGTGATTGGTACACGACCATTTGTTTGCCGGAAGTTATTGACAAAGTCCGTAAAAATAACCGTAAACGCCGTATCATCTTGCACCACGATAATGACAGTTCTCATAAGGCCAGACAAACAAATGAAGTTTGAAAGTGAACAGCGTTGACCTTATGAGCCATCCCGCATACAGTCCTGACATGGCACCTTGAAACTTTTATTTATTTTCGAAATTTAAGAACCAGTTACGCGGTCAACTATTTTCATCACGTGAACAGGCTGTCGAAGAGTATGAAAAATATGTTTCAGAGATTGCCACTGAGGTGTGGCATAAATGTTTTCAAAATTTGTTCATTCATATGAAAAAGTGCATTAACGCTAACGGAGAATATTTTGAGAAACAATTTATTCATTACTGACCATTTATAGTATTTTGTACTTATTCCTTCCGGAAACTTATAGTGCGCCCCGCGTAGTGACCACGTAAAGACATTTGGGTAGAGTCAAAGTCAAAGTCAAATAATAATTTTACCTCCATAGGTAAAATTTTTACACTTAAAAACGTCATTTTTTAAGCTACTGCTCGTTCACTATGCTGATCTCCTTGAGCAGAACGAGCAAGAAAGTCTAGGGATTGCTCTTTTCAAATAACCTTAAATGTTATAGAATTCACTTTAAATCATAATTGTATGGAATCTACACTCATGTTGACTTCAATTTTGTAATATGACTTTTCAATTAATAAAATACTTTTAATGTAAGTTTTAAACTTAGGAAATGATAATCTTAACATGTTCTATTGTAAAAACGTAAATAGTTCCCCATAAAATAATCGTTTGCCTTAGTTAAACGAAATCGTAGTAGGTACCATGAGGTTGAACTAAGTTCTAAGGTTCATATTTTGGATATCTTCTTTCTTAATGAAATTATGTACATTTTTACGAGCATACAAAATATTTGAGTAAATATTCAGTGATGCCATAGCCATGATAGCATTTCCTTAAACTTTTACCTCAGAGAAACCCGAGCACCTAAACGGTATACAGAACGAATCGTTCGTTTTTGCAACACAAATTTGTTTTGTATATCTGCCGCTTTACCCCACATGAGAATTCCGTAGGAGATTGTACTATGGAAATAACTAAAGTAAACTAGTCTAGCAGTAGCAACATCGGTAAGCTCACGTATTCCACGGACTGCGTATGCAGCAGAGCTACTCTGCTGGCCAAGGAAGATATGTGTAGAAACCATTGTGTTTACTATCTGAGGTCACTCGCAAAAAGACAACTTTGTTAACAAGATCTAACCGTCCTCCATTTATTTGTATGGTTTGACTAGTCGATTTTACGTTAGATGACTCAAATTTAGCACACTTAAGTATAAAATTTAGAATGAAGTAGCATTTTTTTATGATTTCAGAGGAGTTGCCTTTCGTTACTGGTCATGAATAAAGACCAAAACCGAAATAATATCTTTTTCGTTATATTTCACAGCTATACTCTGAATAAGCTACGTTCAGATCCATTGATTAAAATAATCACGTGACAATATCGTTCGGTATTGCACGATAGATACCATTCTATGTATTTTAAAACAGCTTCCAGATCAATTAAGTGTTTTTGAGATGTGTATGGTGTCGATTTTATACACATAACGGGTATCAATACAAGTATCATATTCATGATTATCATCATTATATATATTGATATATGCGATAGGATATTCTTAGAACTTGACTGATATGCCGTAAAAAATTTCAAGAAGAACATCACGTTTTATATTTGCATTCGTCAACGATTTTATCTAAAGTGCATGAATCCTTTAGCTTTTGCGTTATTTAGTTGACTCAACTAAATAACAAGGAGACTGGTTATATGATTATTGTTTGTTATAATTACATTGTTTTGTTAGTGACGGTACAGCAACTAAATTTATAAATGTAACATGAGAAAAAAGTCAAAAAAATCGTTAAAAAACCAAACTCAAAAAAGATCTGCAACAAGCACATATACAAAATTTGTCGGGTCTGTTGGTTTGTGTCGTAGCTTAGTTGGGAGAGCGTCGACCTGGTAGCTGAAGACGCTGATTTGAATCCAGTCGGATCGAATGAATTTTCTCTGTGTTCGATCTTTGAATTAATGAAATAAATTAATTAATCAATGTATGTATTAATAATTGTAACAAGTGACTTAAGTAAGGCCGATTAGCCTTTTTTATCGTGATTTGTTCAGATTACAGGAACGGACATCTTAAATGACAAGGAGATATCAAGTTCCACTAGAATTTTGAAACCCCAGAAGCAAAGTAAGTTTTACACAACTTGTTTAAAACATGACAACTGTTATAATGGATAACAAAATAAATAGTATGTTCAGTAATGTACTACTAGAGCCATCTGTTGTGTACTCTGTGTAAGTGTTTATATTTGAAATAAACGTCACTCTGCTCCGAACTAACATGAAGTTTGAATAGGTTATGTGCTCAGCTCAAGTATTTAAATAGTTTTTTATTAGTTTTTCGGTAGTTTTTTGTTGTGGACAGTAATTAAAATGGCAGCGAGTTATTCAGTTAACGTGCCCAAGTTGAAAGGACGCGAGAATTACGACGATTGGGCGTTTGCAGTGGAAAATTTTTTGATCCTGGAAGGTGTCAATTTGTCTAGTAATGAAGTGCTAGATCAAACGAGTGACAAGAAAGCCAGAGCGAAGTTAATATTGACCATCGACCCATCCCTTTATGTACACATTAGAGGCGAAGCTACAGTGCGAAGTACATGGAATAAGCTGAGGTCTTTGTTCGACGACTCCGGTTTCACGCGCAAGATCAGCTTATTACGGAACTTAATTTCTATACGCTTAGAATCCAGTGCATCTATGACGGCGTACGTGACACAGTTAGTGGAAACGGCACAGAAATTAAAAGGTACTGGTTTCGAGATAAACGATGAGTGGATCGGTTCTTTACTACTGGCGGGTCTTCCAGAAAAGTTTAGCCCGATGATCATGGCCATAGAACACTCTGGTATGAGTATAAGTGCAGATGCTATAAAAACAAAGTTATTAGATATGAGTTCAGATTTCGATGTCAACAGTGATAATGCATTTTTCGTTAAAAATTCACAAAAACGAAATGGAGGTAGCAGTAAATCATTTTCGAGGAATGTTGGCAGCAATGCAAGTAACGGAACGCAACATAAGTCAGCTGTCAGAAATGTCAAAGACAAAATAATTCGTTGTTACAAATGCAAACAAATAGGGCATTATAAAAATCAATGTTCAGAAGAGAAGAAAACGAAAATGAATGCATTCAGCGCAGTATTTTTGACTAGTGATTTTAGTCAAAACGATTTCTACATTGATTCCGGCGCGAGTACTCATTTAGTGTCGAATGTAAACATGTTGACAAATGTTTCGAACCAACCGAAAACTAAGCAAATTATTGTTGCAAATCAACAAACAGTGGACGTTTTATGCTCAGGAGACCTACAGATCACGACAGTAGTGGGAAATGAGCAGTTTGAAGTGAGTGTAAACAATGTTTTGTGCGTACCTAACCTCACCACGAACTTACTATCAGTGAGTAGAATAACCGCGAATGGAAACCGTGTTGAGTTTAATGAACAAGGATGTTTTATTTACAACTCGGATTACGTATGCATTGGTGAAGCTAAGTTGGAAAACGAAGTTTACAAATTACGTACTGCGAGGCCTCAACAGCTGATTGCGGCGGCTACTTCTACATCAAGTTTAACGTGGCACAGAAGGTTAGGGCATATAAATGCGAATGATTTGGCTAAAATGAATAATGGAGTAGTAGATGGAGTGTCATTCCAAGAAAACAGTGTAAGATTAAATAAGGCCAGCTGTACTGTATGCTGCGAGGGCAAGCAAACAAGGCTGCCATTCCCTCAGAGTACAAGCAGAAGTCAGGAAGTGCTAGAACTAGTTCACACAGACCTTTGCGGCCCGATGGAAAATGAGTCTCTTGGAGGTGCTCGATATTTCCTTATATTCATAGACGACTTTAGCCGAATGTGTTTTGTGTACTTTCTCAAATCAAAACACCAGACATTTAAGTTCTTCAAAGAGTTTCAAAGGTTAGTTGAAAACCAGCAGTCAAAGAAAATTAAGGCGTTAAGATCCGATAATGGAGGTGAGTTCTGTTCAACTGAAATGAAGATGTACCTTAAGCAATGTGGTATAGAGCATCAGAAGACAACAGCATACACTCCAGAGCAAAATGGATTATCGGAGAGGTATAATCGATCAGCAGTAGAGAAAGCTCGGTGTCTCCTATTCGATGCAAAATTAGAGGTCAAATTTTGGGCAGAAGCAGTGAATACTGCAGTGTATATGAAGAATAGGTCACCAGCAGCGGGACTAGGTGGAGATACTACCCCCTATGAAATGTGGACGGGCAGAAAGCCGAACATCGGCCATCTACGGATCTTCGGCAGTCCAGTGATGGTTCACATTCCCAAGCAGAAACGCAGGAAGTGGGACAAAAAATCTACCAGGAAATTACTAGTTGGTTATTCAGAAAATACTAAGGGTTATCGCTTGTTTGATCCAGCTTCACAGAATATTGTTATTGCAAGAGATGTGGTAATCATGGAAGATGTACATGACAATACTGCAGCAATATTGATAGAGGAGAAACAGCAACCAGAATGTGTAACTGTGACTCAGATAGTAGAGGACAGTGAGTCGAGTAGGTCAGATGATTCTATGCAACAGGATGATGTCAATGATGTGACATATGTTCCAAGCGAACTCTCAAGTGAAGATGACACATCGGAGAGTGACACCTTCTACGAGCCAGATAATGTAGCGGTTGTGACACAGGAAGCTTTAGAGGTACCAAAGCGTGTCAGGCGTTTTCCAGACTACTACGGTTATTCAAACATGTGCGTCGAGAATGTGGGTGATAATATCTCGCTCACCGATGCAGTTACTGGGCCAGAAAAAGTGCAGTGGCAAAGTGCAATGGAGGAGGAGATTCAATCTTTCATTGTCAATGACACTTGGGAACTAGTGGACAGGCCAAAGGAAGGCACAGTGGTGAAAAATAAGTGGGTGTTTAAGAAGAAATACAATGGTGACGGTCAAGTGCGTTATAGGGCAAGACTTGTAGCAAAAGGTTTTACTCAGAAGAAGGGCAAAGACTTTGACGAGACTTTCAGTCCAGTGTTAAGGTATTCCACTCTAAGACTGTTGTTAGCCTTAAGTGTAAAACTAGATCTGGATATGAATCACCTAGATGTACCTACTGCATTCTTGAATGGTTTCATTAAAGAAAATGTGTATATGGAGATACCAGAATGCTCATCTTTTACCAACTGTGATAATAAAGTTCTTAAATTAAAAAGAGCCATTTATGGTCTCAAACAATCTGCTCGGGCTTGGTATACCCGTGTGGAAGAATGTTTGTTAAATTTGGGTTATGAAAAATTAAAATATGAGCCATGTCTTTTTATGAAATGTCATAATAATGTGAAAATATATGTAGCATTATTCGTGGATGATTTCTTCATTTTTTATAATTGTAAAAGTTCTTATGAACAGTTAAAGACTGAACTTGTTAATAAATTTAAAATAAAAGATTTAGGTCAGATCAAACAGTGTCTAGGAATGCGAGTAAATGTTAAGAAAGACTGTATAACTGTTGACCAGGAACAATTTGTAAATCATATTTTAAATAGATTTAACATGTCTGACTGTCATGGGACAGAAACCCCAATGGAAGTCAATTTAAAATTAGAAAAGGGTGAAAATAATAATTGTGATAACAGATATCCTTATCAACAATTAATAGGTAGTCTCATGTACCTGTCTGTACTGACAAGACCTGATATCGCTTATAGTGTAAGTTTTCTCAGTCAGTATAACAATAGTTACAGTGACACTCATTGGAAACATTTAAAAAGATTGTTAAAATACTTACAGAAAACTAAAAGTTATGGTCTAGTATTTAAGAAGGACAGTTGTAACTTGCATGGTTTTGTAGATGCTGACTGGGCATCATGTACCTTGGATAGGAGATCATACACTGGGTTTTGCTTCATGATGTCAGGGTGTGTGATATCCTATGAATCAAGGAAGCAAAGAACTGTAGCATTATCAAGTGCTGAAAGTGAATATATGGCACTTAGCGAAGCATGTAAAGAGGCAATTTATTTGCAAAATGTACTGTATGATTTGTTAAAACCATGTGACAGTGCACCAATATGCTTGTATAGTGATAGTCAAAGTTCACTCAAATTAGCTGCTAATCCATTGTTTCACAAAAGGACCAAGCATATTGATGTGCGACATCATTTTGTCAGAGAATGTGTATCTAATAACAAAGTGATATTAGAGTATGTGTCAACTTCAGATATGCCAGCTGATTTGTTGACAAAAAGTTTGTGTGTGAATAAGCATTACAAGTTTTTAAAATCAATGGGCTTATCAAAATTGTAAATGTTTATTAAAAACAGCTCAAGCGGGAATGTTTGTTTTGTTGTGTCTAAGTAATAGCACTAGACTTTAGTATTATTTTCGCTTGGCATGTGTATTATATCAGGGTTATTAGTTTATTTTGTTAGGAGAGAATGTTATAATGGATAACAAAATAAATAGTATGTTCAGTAATGTACTACTAGAGCCATCTGTTGTGTACTCTGTGTAAGTGTTTATATTTGAAATAAACGTCACTCTGCTCCGAACTAACATGAAGTTTGAATAACAACGAAAAGGAATCAACAACATTGCTGATATTTTGGACTTAAAAATTCTGGTCATTTACCTAAAAAAAAAGTAGTACTTACCCATATTTCTGAATTTGTCTTGAATAGTCGGAATTAATTAAAAAGCTCAAATGTTTGATTTGCATATTGACTAATAGCAGTAAAGAGCCTTGTGAAAGACTTCGTCTAGGGAAGTACTGCCCTATCTTAACTATATTTCTACCGCCAAACAGTAATGTAAGCATTACTGCGTTCCGGTTTTGAAGGGTACGGGTGCTGATAAAAAATTACAGGCACATGGGACTTGTTAACGTATGACTCAGAGCGACTGGCGTAGTGGCATCAGATGTTTGCGATTTAAAGCCTTGAATGACAAGTGCAATTGTCAAGGATAGGCGCGTCATTTACCACCGGGTGCACGACTTGTTCGTTCCGTGTTGCCTGGTATCATAAAAAGAAAACTTTACGTAGCGGCGTCTTCTTCTTCGTGACGTCCATATTGCAGAAAGCTAAGATACAGTTCCTCTGATAGCAAAATAATTTAGTACTTAAAAGTTAATTTGATGGACTCATTGATTTCTGGAATAAAACGCAGACATTGAACCACTACTCATTTCATTCAATAATTTAAAAACATCTATTATTAACTTACTTGTGAATGTTTCAGTAGTTAATAAGCCTTGGATAATAATAAAGCCGACAATAAAAATGATAGAGAGCTCCTTGTCGCCCAAAGAATCTGGTGAAGAAATCAGAGTGCCATGTATCGTCACTGGCAATCCCAAACCTAATATGGTATGGGTAGACGACCAAGGAAACAATTTGCCTGTAAAGGTAGGTATAGTTTGCTATATTAATTTCACTATTAATAACCGCAACGATGATGACAAATACTCACGATGGGACTTAAATCCAAGCACTTGAGCACTTGTTTGTGCAGTATCTTGCCTTTTGTATAAACAGATTTACCCTCTGTAACCTGAAATGTTACGTAATCGCAATACATTCCTGCGACATATATTATGTCCTTAAAAATTGTGTCCGATATCTACTTGGCCATTCTTTTTATCTCTTTACTTTTTCAATGCTTTTTTCTCTCTCCAATCCCAGTCTCAAAAATCTCTCGCAAGTTCCAGTTTTTTGTATTTTAGTACCTATTGACGAAGCCCAGTGTCGATCTTTAGGTAGTAAATTTGTCTGTTTCTCATGCAATTTGTTAGCCTATGAAATGAATAAATGATATTATTGTTTTGTATTTCTTTTACCAGATAACTTATTGTATTTGTTATTATATTTATTATTGTGTTCACCATATTCGTTAGTTTCGTTACGAATATTATTATGCTTTGGAATAATTAAACAAAAATGTTCATTTACAGGAAATTCTACTAGAAATACCAGCGGTTTACATAATCTACGGCACTGTCACCAACTTAACTAGAAACATGACATTACACTGTCAAGCAACGAATTACTATGGAGATAGTTCAGGAAGTATTGACTTGTATATGAAACGAACTAATTATATTGATGTAATAACAATGCCTCAAGGTAATCTAAACAAAAAATTCCTAAAATTAATTTTGCTTTAACCGCATAAGTAATAACACGATAAAAAAAAAAACAATTTCACAAGCTTTTATAAACAGTCTCGTAAAACATTCAATATTAAACGTATGACATAAGAGAGCCTCTTAATAAGCCTGTAGGGCTGTATGTACAGTCGGTGCCCTCACTTAAGTATCTACTGTTTGTATAGCACTTATTACAAATAGTGGATACATAAGTGAGAGCACCGACCGACAGTACCAACATTATAATGTGACTTTCTTAATAAAATTGAAAAACAGAATACTTTTAAGACGTACTTCGGTTTATATGCTTGTCATAATTGTATAAATAAATAAATAGTACTTATAGCTATCTGTCACAGCCCTGCACTAGACTGGAAATTACGGTTGATAAAGTAGAGTGGAAGAAAAACACATGTTGTGAAGACCCCACCTAGCGGGGTACAAGGACAGGAAGAAGTAGCTAAATAAATAAAGTAAATAACGCACACATTCATAACCCGCCATCAGGATAACCCTATATCGCGGGTGCCATGAACTCGCACATAGACAACTACAAATTACACCCAAAGTTACAGGAGAAATAAATGAGTAAACATACAAATATTTTTTTCGGTCCGGGAATCGAACTTGGGACCTCTGCGTGGCAGTCCTGTGTGGTGACCGTTCGGCCATGGAGGCAGTAATTGTGGCTTAATTGAATGTCTGCTCTGTCTGATCTATAGTGTAGGTACAGTAAGATGTAATGTGCTGGTTTCTGCAATATCGATTATGATACACTTCGAAATAAGTCGTTTTCCATATTATTTACGCAGAATGTGAAAAACGCGGACGATATTTCTGTTGGTTATCGTACTCATGATAAAAAACGACTTTTAACAACTGACTGAAATGACTTAAAACTATGAAGAACGTAATTAGCGAAAAAGTTTTGGTTTCATTTACTGCGATTGTCCTTGTTTTGCAATTTTACACGGAAAGCCAAAATATACGCTTTGTTCAAACGATTATCCGCCATTGACTCACAATAGACAAAAATACAACTTAATCACTAGTTTAAAAAATTTTAGATAGCTCAATAGAATATGGTACCGAAGGTAAAATATATTGTCAAGTAAATGCTAATCCAGAACCGACAATAAAATGGTATCACAATGGAACTCTAATTGAAGATACTGAGAGAATTCTATTTGAAGATAATGATGCTGAACTTGTAATCAAGAGCATGGACTTAGATGATGTTGGTGAATATAAATGTGAAGTCTCTACTACGTTTGAGACTAAAGAATTAACAGCGAAGATTGACATTGCTGGACTAGGTAAGCACGAAGAACAGAATTAACTCGTTGATTTTAGTTACGTTGGAGTCTGTTTATTTCATGGACAGTACTTAATTAGCATCGCACACAAAAATGGAAGTTTTTGTTTTTGAATTTTACTTGGGGTAGTTTTAAGTTTTAATTCAAGATAAAATGTTCAATGTATGTAAATCAATGAATTTTTTCAGTAAGTTGTTGATACTTCTATATGGAAAAATAATAGGCAACTGTACAGAAGGCACTTGGAAATCGCAATGTAAAGCCCGTAGTTGATTTTTCGAGATCTTTTAACCTAAAGCGGACACTACTTATTATCACATTCTAATATTCAATTTTACAGTCCGTGATCGGGTTAAAAAGATTATTTATGCCTAGAGGCTTATGGGTGACTCGGATTTAGTAGACAAGACAGTAGTGTAGATAAAGTTGCCTACTAATCGGTATTTTACAGCATATCACGGAGAGTGTGCGATAGAATTGGATAGTTTGATTCCGCATTCCCCTTACCATCATCGGGGGACTAGACTAGACTGGATGTGGGCTGGGGTTCCACCCCTATATTGTGGATATTCCTAGGATTCGCGCGAAGCGTTTGCTTCCAAATTTATAGTGCGAGCGGCTAGGTAGACGTACTCTTTGCCTGCGGACTTGTTTCCCGAACGCTATAACTTGGGCCTTTTCAAGGCGAGAATAAATAGGCACTATTTAAGTGTGCATGCTACATCGTCGACCTCAACGTCACTTTCCATCAGGTGAGATGGAGGTCAAATGCGCACTTGTTTTTATAAAAAAAATATGAATTGAGTTTTTGGTATGCAAGTACTTAACTATTCCGGCCGTTTTATCGTAATTGGCATATGTTAATTGTAAAGAGTCTCGTTGCATTACTATTACGGTTTTGAAAATTCCAGGAAAAACGTGACTTTAGAGACTATTTCAAAAGTAGGTTTCTAAATTTATAGCAGGCAAAACGTAATATATTGTTCGTTATTAACCGCTCACGCGATTCATGCGTCTCTGGAAGCATACCACACCTAGAGGTGCCGGTGATGATTTTATACCGATTTATCGGATATCGAAGTTATAACAGGTAAAAGAAATAATACTAATTGCTATTTCGTTAACTACTCTAGCAAACCATAAAATTTTTAATGTCTGCGTCTGTCATTTAAAAAAAATAAACAACTTCAAAAGTACGTCACGACAATCGTGTGTGTGTATTGTTTGGGCTGGTGATGTCGGTGTTTATTTATTGAAAACATACCGTAAGTTGCGTTTTTTAAGTTTACCCTGAATATAAATGTTTATAAACTATACTTTAAGGAGTAATTTCGTGGTAAACATTAGAACCACTCAAACGGAATATTATCATATTTACCCAAGTACACCAAAAATTTCATTAGTGCTTTTTAAGTGCAGGATTTGCGGTGTATTACTGCATTTTATTTGAGATGTTTTTGTTGTAGTACGGTGGGTATTTATTTCGTAATGCAGAATAATAATTTTTATTTTTAAAAACTTGTATTTAAACTGAATGCTTGATTGCGGCTAAGAGCCTATTAATTATTATTATTCGGTATTAACTTCAATTGGTCATATTGGAAAAAATAATAATATAGTAAAATTGAGGATATTATATACTGATTAGTAAACACGATTGCTAAAAATTTTCTTACTTACTTACGTAACTTACCTCGAAATTTTACAAGGAAACCTGTGTATTCATTATGTTGCACCAATGATTTTTTTTATATCGATTGAACTAAATAGACTACGTATAGTATGGGTACGATAAATATTTTTCAAATGCTGAATTTCATTTGTAAAAAAATAAATTGATGAAATAAAGCATGTATCCCTTAGTAGGGGAAAAATTTGAAACCGAGCTGAGGTAGTATCGACTCTTAAACTCAAGTAATAAAATAAAAATTATTTATGAAAGTGTTTCTTCATTTCCTGTAGTGGGCACGTAAGAAACAAAGGTCGTTTCATATAATTTCAGATAGAGAGGATTTGATTTTATTACTACTTATAGTTCTTCAATTTCAACAGAACAGCTAAGCTTCATTCTTACAGCATTGCCGTGTAACTAGAATAAAAATTGCTGTTGATTTCGTACATTTTTTAATACTGCTTAATTAAATGACTTAAATCTGAAAATATCAGTGTAAAGTTTAAAATATGCCAAAAATCATCAAAATTTTTGAGAGCGGTATTCCCGGGACGAAAACTCTAATTATTATTAGTTTCTATGACAGAAGACATTTCTTCATTTTAGCCGAAAGATTTCTTGCTGTACACTTGAAATTTGTAGAAATGTAATCTGTTTGCTTAAAATCGTAATTAAATTTTTCTAGAGGGACCAGAATTAAGTGTGACTACTACAGATGTCAACGCAAAAATAGACGATGTGACTTCATTAGAATGCACGTATGTATAATAAGCAATACAAATTTATAGACATCTACTTTATTTTAAATGTTTAAATTATTTCAAATTTTCAGTGTCGATAAAGGAACACCAACACCAACAGTAACATGGAGCTTTAAATCTTTAAGATCGGACTACTTTTCCGATATACCTTCAGAAATAACTGTCACTGATTCTAAATTGGAGATACCGGCGCTTAAAAATGAGCATGGGGGAATTTATAAGTGTGAAGCCTCCAATATTATTGGTCAAGCAAGTCGTGACATCACGGTGCATGTACAATGTAAGTAAGATTGTGCTAGTCAGACCCAAATTAAAATTGTGGAGTGTATAATATCATCAGTTCCAAAATTGCATCAATCAAATATTGCTTATACTTAGGCCTATTCGTATTGAAAATGTAACACTTGAGATTTATAGGCGATTGAATCGATGCAAATGCGCGACGCCTAGAAATCTCAAGTGTAGCGATGTAATCGCGCGTTTGTATCGATGCAGTCGCGCGCTTTCATCGTTGCTTAAAGTCGCGCGCGTGTGTAAGGCTCTAAGGTCAATGGGTGATCCTTGTTTGCATAGATTTTAAGACTTTCGTGGCTATTTACTAAATGGTTATCATTAATTACACATTCCGATATTTCGGAACGGTTACACGGTCCATGGTTGGTTGACTCGTCAACCCGTGACCATAGACCGTGTAACCATTTCGAAATATCGGGAAAATAAGAAGAAATCATATCGCGGTACGAAACCTGTAATTAGTAATAATTATCCTTGCTTGTGTTTGAAAGTGTGATTATCAGAATAAGTGAATAAAAAATGTAATATTTGTTTTTATTACAGCTGCACCGATAATTAATAGTATTTCGGACTACGTAGAAAAGGCAGAAGGAGAAGAGGTTGAATTAATTTGTGACGTGGCTGCAGATCCAGAGGCCACAGTTCGATGGGAAATGATACAAAATGATGCTGCTGTTCCTATGGACTACAGACATTACACTGATGATCAACACACACACAGGTGTATTAATCTTTTTTGTGTATAGGGTCTGGTTGTCTATGGGGCAGTACATCTGATTGTTTGATGTAAATACAGAGTATTGGCATCACCCAGCAAGCAAGCTAATACTTATTTAATTCTATTTTTAATAATATTTACTGAACAAACAAAGGCAGAGAGTGAGGCAATTGTAAATAACATGTTTTTGTGAAGTACCGTAATACAGTCACATATTTAATTTATAAACAACAAATTATGCTGTAAATTTTCCTTAACTGCATATGAATTTAATAATTAATAGTAGAATAAATTTTAACGACAGAGAATACAGACATATAAAAATTTTAATGGAATTTATGTATTATTTATACATTCTTTTGTAGATATTTACATGTTCGTCCCGTAATCGTATTTAGTAACAATGGGAAGCCTGCCTCATTGTTATTAATACGATCGGGTAAAACTTTCGTGAGTTTCTAAAGCCACAAACGTTTCTGAAATGTTAGAACCATTTTAAAATATCATTATATATATATATGAATTTTTTTAATCGCTTCCTTCATCGTGACCTCACTTCATCTTGTCCATTATCTGTATCCATTGGTTGCGCTCAGTCGCCTGATGAAGTGCAGCCCTCCTCCTGTAGTTCGGAGATGTCACCATCAAATGCTCCAGGTTACCAGTATTTCTACGTGTACAGTGATAAAAATATCGTATCACACGTTGCATGCAGATTAAAAACAGATTCCGTGCATTCTCTATCTCGATTTCTCCAAGTACAGAAACTGGTGCAGGCTATCCACGGTACAGTACCACATTTCAAAAGCGTTTAGGGTCCACTGAAAATCAACGTCACATCCTTTTCTCGGCGGTGACATTAGCTGAGTAGATCCTTTTACATATGCCACAGCCGCACACATGACATCTACTTAGTACACAATAATGTTGACTATTTAATATTTTTGCTCTGTTGTCATTTCATTACCTATTACTAAGATTTTATTTTTATTTCATTTTTCTTTTGTTATTCTGTTGTATTTTTGTTTTTTTTCTCTAAGTTTCTTAATGTGTATTTTTGTACTGTGGCGTTTTGTAATAAATGGTTTCTATTCTATTCTAATCTATATGAACAAATAGGTCCATAGCTGAAAAGGCGGTTCTTTTGCAGACGAATTTCTCCACTGCAAGATTTTCTTTTGTTTCAACAAATGTGTCTACAGACGGAAAGGCGGGCTAAAGAAACACTTTTTTTTCTTACAGTGCCATTACGACATACAGCTAAGTAGTACAATATAAAATATAATATAATTAATAATTGTAAGTATTTTGCCGTATGATTTCAGGTTCATAGCACTGTGGAAAGACTCCGGCAACTACAGGTGTGTAGCTGAAAATAGCGTGGGTAGAGCTGAGAAAGTTGTTCAAGTTAACGTATTAGGTACCCTATTTATCTATTTATAACAGAAATTAACACTTACGAAATGAGATTGAAAAGGTATATCTCTATCGT